TAAAAATAACTACAAATAGTACAATTTTTAAAACAAGTTTTAAACAAGTCCTAAACTGTGATTAACTTAATAATTTGGCTAAATGTGCCTGGTTTATATACGTTTTAGAAAATCATCTATGATGATACAGATAATAATTATTATGGTCGCCGAGTATGATATTGCTTAATAATGAGAATCAATAATATATGCTGAATAATTTTTAAAAATGTTTGATTTATCTACCATTGTATTATACAAGTTCTATGTAATTGTAGTGTAATATGAATAGTAATTGAAATTATTAAAAACATATTTAAACGGGCTCATAATATTTTGCATGTTACATCCGTCTTAAATGGCTATGCCATCGCCAGTACACGTCCAGACAAACCCAAAACTAATAAATATTGACTTGGTAAGTTTTTGAAACAACATAACAGTGCATAAAACAAAATAAGTTGAAAGAACATTATGTTAAATGTATTAAATTAAAGCATTCTATTTAGGCCAATTCAATTGACGCAAATTGTAGTTATGCTATAGATAGTGCCCTGATAATACCTTGTTTTATATAAATGATTTGTCTAATACAATTTTATGGTGAAAACAAATTACATTATATCTTAATACTATCTAAACTTGGGAACATATTTCATATATAAATAACAATACCATTGATTTAAGTATTTTTAAATTACAATTCAAAATGAAAATAGTAACTTGTTAACACAAATTTTACACAAAATAATTAAATTATTATAAAAAGTTATTTGATTTACTCATTTAAATATCATGAAATAATCATGTTAATTAAATAAAACATTAAAAAATATTATCAAAATTTTGAACACTAAATTGTAAGTTATCCCTGAAATATTAATAAAAAACATTTCACTCGTTACATTAAAATTAATATTATGTCTTTATTTTAAACTTGATAAAAGTTTACAAATATCAATACATAACAGTTTTAAAAAAATGTAATATGGTAGATATAATTTCTATTCTACGGCATCCGTGGTAGTGGTGAATGGCGGCCCAGTTGAATAATAGCCACATGGGCCATCATTAAAACAACAAAAGTCGTTACAAACTACCGTTAATTCATCTGTGATTTGTCTACTGCCACAGTCATTGCAACAAAGTTGCTGGCAATCGATTTGAGCATTAATGAACACCGCGTTCATTATGGCCACAATTAGCACCACCGCTACAACCATCGCAAACTTGACGAGCATGCACATTTTTAGTGGATCTGATAATAAAGATATTAATAAGTTAGTGATTTGTTTGATTTAATTAAAAATTATATTTACCTGTTTGTTTTATCTTAAGTCTTAATAATCAGAAAGGTAAACTGTGATTAACTTGATAATTTGGTTAAATGTGCCTGGTTTATATACGTTTTAGAAATCATCTATCATGGTACAGATGATAATTATTATATGCGTCGAGTATGATATTGCTTAATTATGATAACAGTTAGAATCCTTAATATATGCTGAATAATTGTTTAAAATGTTTGATTTGTCTACCATGGTCTTATACAGGTTCTATGTAATTGTATTGTAATATAAACAGTAATTGAATTTCTCAAAAACATATTGAAACAAGATCAAAATATTTTAAATATTACATCCGTCTCAAATGACTATGTCATCGCCAGTACACATCCAAACATAACTAAACTAATAAATATTTACTTGGTAATATTTTTAATTAACATAAAAACAGAAATTAACATACCAGTGCATAAACCAAAATAAATTAAAAGAATATTATGTTAAATGTATTAAATTAAAGCATTCTATTTAATTCAATTCAATTCAATTTACCCAAACTGTAGTTAAGCTATAAATGTAGATAGTGCCGTGATTTCCTTATTTTATATAAATGATATGTTTAATACAATTGAATTTTATATACCATAATTAAATATTTTGTTGTTGTGTAGAAATTTATTTAAAATCACCATATACATGTTTAGAATAGATCTTGATATATTGCATACAATAATATTTTCTTAGTACTTTTCCAGATATATTTTCTAATAATAAACAGTTAATGATAAATTGTAAAAATAACATGATTATTAAAAATTTTATTATATTATTTGAAAATAATTATTACCACGTACCATGCAGTTTAATAGTTAGGTAGTAGTCTTAACAAATAATTTATTTAAATATTATAAAAAATTAAAGACTTTAATACAAAGAATATACTTTCCCAGACATACCCTACTTACAAGCAATAGTTGGCCACTTAAGTTGCAATATCGTTATTAAAGGCCACTAATTGTGTAGTTTAGACCAAATAAAATAATTTAACGCTAATATCTCGGGCTGATAGCCCAATGGGCGTTTCTGGCAGGGCGTTTTGAGTTTCAATTACATTAGAGAGTTGCATAGATACTAGCGCCACTTGTTTTGCGGCATACAAGTCAACTAACTATCATTCGTGAGTATGACATAGCGTAAGTAAAAGTCTTAAAAATCGCGATAATCGGTTTTACGCTGGGTGTACTTTAGTGTACATAATGACTGCTGATAAACAAGATATAAATTGCTGTAATCCCATGTTAAATCACATAGGGTGGGTGGGCCGGAAGGGGGCCTAACGATCTTATAAACCACATTCTTCATAATATGTGAAAATGCAGCAAAACTACATCTTGATAAAACTTTTAATAAATTTTCTTTAGATAAATAAAATACACGAGCAGTCAGTAAATTTATTAATTGTAAATTTTTTTGGCCACAAAACTACTAACGGTGTTGTGTCCACACATGGTATTTACCCCCTGTTTGGTCACCAAAAACAAAGGTTACTGTGTAAAACTAATTCAATCTCTAATTATGTCTAGTGTTTGCCAAAATCTATTTTAATTGTGCTCATAATTGTTTATATAATTAATTACACAATTTTGAATTATTACTTTATTTTGATTTTCAATCATTATGAAAAATAGAATAACTTATATTTTTATAAAATAGTTTCTAAACATTAAAATTGATTGATAAAATAGAAATATAATCGTGAACATTTTAAAAATTTAATTTTTTATTCTTATTAATAATTATCTGGAAAATCTCCAATGATAACAATGTAGGTTAATTGACTATAATACAAAACGTTGAATAGATTAAGTTTACAGTTATTTAAATAACATAAATATTACTTTATTTTTTATTATCAATAATTAATTTAATTTTAAGCAATTAATATAATTATTTTAAACAGAATAATTTATTTTAATGTATTTTTAATGTTACATATTGAATTACTTTAAAAACTATAATTCATTATAAAAATTACTATATTTATTATTATTTTCTCTCATTTATAAATGAAGATTAAAAATGAATGTAGATTTACAGTATACGCTAAAAGTAATTAAATTATTTAAATTAAAAGAGAGAATATATGAAACCTATTATACCAATCTGAAGTTCTTATTATAATACAGAACATTTATTTTATTAAATTTACAGTTATTAAAATATAATAAATAATATTTAATAATAATAATGTATAATAATGGGCGAGTATTTTATGACATACAATTTTACAAATAAAATTTATATACCAGTTAAACTGTTTTCAAATACAAACCAATATGATAAGATGATTAATTTTCTCGGTGCAGTTACAATCATAATTATCTAAGAATTTAAATTTTGAATAATTATCAACAAATAATATTTAATATAATATTTATTAATTCATTGTTAAATAGTTTCTGAAAATATGCCTAAGACCTAAGTGTTGACCCGTAAGTTATTTATTATAATAATGTTAGAAATGTTACATGTTAAAATTTTTATGTGTAAGTAAATTATTGGTTATTAAATTAGTATAAATAGTATTTAATATAAAATTATAAATTATAATCATTATTATATAAATAATAATTTTTGTTGATTATAAAGAATTTTTCTTAAATTGTTTTCAAACGTTTTTATTAATGTAATTTGGAAAATATTTAATTAATTGTAAGATCGACCTTATCCATATATAATAGGTTATATTAAAGGTTCTAATATAAAACTACAAAGACATTAGTTTTACAGTTTGTTTGATAATACAGTACTGTATACAAATGAATTAAATGTCAAATTGTGTTAATATTTTTAAAATAAGTATAAAAATATAAAAATATTTAATTGTAAAAAATATGTATTAACTTAATGATAAAATATATCAATAAACTAGTGACAAGTAAAGTATTTTTATATTTTTATCTTTATAAATATAGTTATTTAAGAATTATAATTTTTAAATATTATCAAAATGTCAATTTATTTGTAAATATTCCACACAAACCTATGCCAAAAATGATGGCCGGAGACAATGCACCCAAACTACAACTCGATCAAACAGTTCATATTAAACTCACCAAGGTCTTTAACATTGCGAGCCATAATAACCCAGTTTTAAGTTCATTTAGTAATTAACGTAAGTGCTATAACAAAGTTAAAAATTCATTATTTATATAGATTAAATTAAAATTTAATATTATTGCGAAATTGTTTCAAAATTATCTGAAAATGTCTAAATATTTATGATGTCTTTATTGCTAAACCATAATTATATTCATAGACTTATCAGATGCAATAGAAAACATTAAAAACATAAGTTTTACAGTTTATTTTAAAATAATATACAATCACAATTTTTTACATTGCATTACATTTTATTTTACACTGAGTTTTTTTTTACTGTATATGAGTTAAACTGTTTTCAACACACAAAACCAGGAAGACCAGAAAATGCTATTTAAAAATTTCTAAAAAATAGTTGTTTAATATTGGAATAATATCAATTATTGAAATTTTTATAAGACAAATAAAGTACACAAACAGTCAATATAATAAAAATTATAAAATTAATTTGACAATATTTTACACAAATCTTAATTAAATATTACAAATTTTATAAATTCTATATAATTATTAAGTTTAATCTGTAGACTATTGTAATATATTTAATTAATCAAATTTTAAAACGAAGTAAAACTATCTAACGTAAAAATTGTCGCATTTATAAATATCAACATCACCATGGGTCATCCATTCATTACGGTCGTCACGGGTATCATTCTGTGTGGCGCCGATCACATCCGAGTCAAACACAAACACCATGTCAGCCTTGCCCTTTGCCATCTCGGCCTCCATACGTGTTTTACCATCGTCGTAATTGTTGAACAGTATACGTTCTGTTGGCCAGTTAGGCGGTACCTGGGTCAAATAAACACCGGTCCCTTGCGTGGCCTTCTTGGCTCGTAATTTTCCATCATGTAAGATTAACAACCCGTTTGCGAGTGTAGTGTAGTGGTAGAGTTTTACGCCCATTATTATTTATCTAGTATGGTATATTTTATTATCAAGATGATTAATTATTCTTATTTTTGCACTAGTGTTGATTACTATTTACTAAATTATACAATTAATATACGAAAATTATAATACTTACTGTATTTAATAATTACTGATAGAATTATAAAGTTATAATATTATACTTATTATTATATAACTGATAATGAATGTGGTAATCCGTTTACGTTAACTGTTTAAATACGTTTATATTAATACGCGTGGGTTTCAGTGTTTTAATATATGATAAATTAAAGTAATGAACACAATATGAAATTGTTATAAATTGTTCAAAACAAGCCACTTTAAAAACACAATTAATTGTCAATATTGCATAGATGTTATACATTTGATGTATACATATGTTTGTAAATTATTGTTAATACAAATAGATATAAAATGTATGGCTAGACAGGAAGTTATATCCTCATTATACTTAAATTTATTAATGTAAAATATAGTTTTCATTCATGTTATCAGAATTTTATGTAATTAGTAATGCGATATTTAAATTCAAGGATTGTTTTATCAATTATAATTAGCTGAATGGCATAAAAATAAATCTCTACCATGTCGGTTATTATCAGTTAATTAGTAATAATTTTTTAATGTAGAAATAAATATGATTTTTATAATCATGAATTTGTTATATAAATATAATATTGAAAATTGAATTGAAAATATTTATATTATAAAAAGTTGCCATTATTATAAAATTAGTTTTATATATAAAATTCTTTTTATATTGCACGTAATATTTAGTGATGTTAAGGTTTTCGTTTTTGTGCTTATACATATATAAAAATAATATATATAACAAAATATTATAAATAAATTATTTTGAAAAATTTAACAGGTAATTTAATAAAATTATTAATTTAATGTGATAAATTTTGATGTTTTTAATATTAACTTTTTTTAATCAAGTTGTAGTTTATGTGTATTGTTATCAGCAATTACTTTTAGCATATGCACTGGTTATTGTTAATATCTGCTGATATTAACAATAACAATAAATTAATACAAATTAACTCAATATTAACTTTATTTATAAAATTAAATACAATGTATACATAATATACAACTTTATATATAATTTTAAAATAAACTGTAAAACGGATGTTTTTACCGTTTTGTATTATATATAATAAGTCTATGGATATAATTATGGGTCACTTCTACGGCTAACATAAATATTTTGGCATTTGTTGTATAATTTTGAAACTTTTGCAAATATATTGAATTTTAATTATAATTAAATGTATATTTAAAAATTAATTTTAAACTTTTGATAACATTTACGTTAATCACTAAATGTTTAGACTAGATTAGCCAACTCTCGTTCCAGGGCCGGGCCCTCTGGTCAGTCATAGCGCACATCCATACACCAAATCCTAACTCCAGGTGTTTTAGGTATAGGGGCTCACAATCTGTGCATTTATCACACAAATAGTCACCTAGTTACATTTTATCAGTTATGCCATTAATCAGATTCTTGTGGTTATTGGAGCCTTCCATGTAATAGACCTTGATGTTTTTAATGTTAACTGTTTTAACGAGTTGTAGTTTGGGTGCATTATTTTAGGTTTGAGATCTGTGGTAGATATGCAACTTTTTCCAATTTTCATTTCCCTGCCCTGCCCTGTTTCCTGTTATTTATGCTTAGAGGGAATCCCTGCCCTGCCCTGTAGAGCCTAACAGGGAACCCCGGGGATTCCCTGTAATTTCCCTGTAAATTTTTTTTAGTAAACAAATCTTGTAAAAACGTCTATTTTTTGATCATATTTTCTTATTTTAGTAAATAGACGTTAAATATAACCATATTATAACAATATAACTGTATTACAACCTTTTTACTACACAAAATTTATTCACACAATTAACACTTACTTTCTGTATTACAGGGAAATTAGAGGGAAATTTGGTTACAGGGATTCCCTGTCCCTGCCCTTTGCATTGATTCTCATTTCCCTGCCCCGGGGATTCCATCTAACAGGAAAAATAAGTTGCATATCTAATCTGTGGCATATCTACAGAAACTATTTAAAAAAAGATTAATAATTAGAAATTTTAATAATATTTGATAATTAAAAATTACTATATTTCCTAAATAACTATATTTATACGTGTTACTAGTTTATCAAGATATTTAAACATTTCAACACTTTAATAATTATTTAAAATATACTAACACAACATGTAGTGTAATTAATTTATATATTATTAAACAAACTGTAAAAATAATTTGTATGGAGTTTTATATTATAACTGAAAATATATGAATGCATTAATGAAAAAATCTCACTAAAAAATTAACATTTTGTCATATGTCTATTATTCATTAATTATTATTTTAAGTTACATTAAAAATGCACTAGAATAAAGTAAAATAATATTTAAATATAAAATAAATCAAAATAATATTTATGTTATTTGAATAACTGTAAACTTAATTAAATCAAAAGTTTTTATTATGATTCCAAATCATTGATTCAATAAATCTACATTGTTATTGTGTGTAACATGAGTGTAACATGTATAAAAAAGTTATTAAATGTCATTAAATTAAATGTTTTTATATCTTATTAAATTTATAAAATGTTTAGGGTTATTTTATTATTTAAATAAATTTAAGTCGTTTAATTATTACATAATTAAGAATAATCAAGATTAAAAATGTACTGGCAACTTAATTTATAAACTAAAAAATATTAATATTGTATTAATTATTATAAATTAAAGACTAGTATTATAATTAATTTTTAATTAGTTAATCTATATTATTATAATAATTTTTGTTTTATAATATGTAACAACAATAGTCTTATAACTATTTATAAAGTATTGATTACATTTTATTTGCCCAAAAACAACTTGGATTTTATAACTGTTATAATATTAATTTTATTATTCATGTTATTTATATTGTCAAACAAATAATATACTGGTATTAATTGAAAATATGTTTTTGCAAGCAGAATAATAATTATTTACATATATTATTGCAAATACAATTGGATTTATTACATTATTATATATATGTCAAACTAGTTAGATTTAATATATTTTTGAGTTAGTTAGTTATAAATATCACAAATACAATGGTTTGGTTTGATATAAACCGGTGTCACTCTTATCCAATCGGTGATACAAATATTGGTGACCCAACTAATAAACAATCGCTATTAATAATTGGATTCGCACAGGTAAATTAGTAATACACTTTTTATATAAACTTATACAATAAATTTTAAAATGCACAATATAAAATAACATTAAAATTATTATAAATAATATAATAAAATTTCAAGATGGTACAACAATATAAATCAATTAAAAATAACTTTATAAATAATTTTAATTGATTTTAATTGTACAGAAAATTTGCGATTTTGAGCAGCAATTTCTACGGGTGCTATTCAAATACAATGTTACGTTACGTGTATATCCAAAGTGGGACAGTATAGCGGATAAATTTATTAACAATACGGTAAAATTGCTATGTACAATTAATGAAAAATTAATTATATGCATATAAACTTTACCTAGGAGATTGACATGGCTCTATATACGATGTCTATCGATGAAAATCTGTTTACTTACTCAAATGCCCACTGGGTAAGGGACGAGTATAACATGGTTATTTTGAGTGGAAAATACATACAAAAACCCAATATATTTATCATGATCAACACTTACTCGAGCCTAATCTGGTCGCTAATATTAATGTGTGTTTTGCTAATAACTGTTTACCAGAATATATCGGCAAAAGTATCTGGTAATTGTAAAGTTTAATAAATTAAATTTAATTGTTTATCTAGATATTTTATATTGTATATGTTAAATATACTGTATTTCATAATTTTAAAAACCTAGGTAACATTGTTGCCACTAAACCAAGCCGTGTATTATTTGACGTATTCAGGCATTTAGTAAACCAAACACTCAATAATCAATACATGCGACCAAACCTAATGATAAATTTATGGGCATTTGTGGCAATGATATTGATATACCATTTCTGTGCCGATATATTGTCAGCGATAGTGACCCGAAAGTGGATGTATGTAAAATCAATTGATGATCTAGTTGAGTCAAATGCTAACGCTATTATACTCAATGGTTCCTACTTATGGTGTGTGTTTGATAAAAAGTTAAGCTATAATTTAGCCATTGATCAAAATCTTGATCAATTACACAATGCAGGTAGAGTTAAATTTATTAATCATGATGAATTTACCCTCAATCATAAGGTAATTCATGAATTGTTTAGGTTAGATAATTTTACTAATATTACTAATTATTTTGTTACTAGATAATATTAAAATCAGTGAAAAATAGGCAAAGTGTATACATGGGAGAGGGTTGGATGGTATTAATGAACAAGTTAACTAACCTCGAGCTAAACCTTGAGATCTCAGAGTACAAGTATTACCACACATTTCTGGGGTTTCCGATAAATAAATGCACAAAACGGGAAAATTGTTTATATTATAAACACAGCCGTAAAAGACATAAGTTGTACAAAATGTAAGTTTAATTAACTAAATGTTGACAATTTTATTTATTGATTTCCCATTGGATTAGCATTGAAGCACTAATAGAGTCGGGACTTAACATGAATTGCAAACATCGATCAGAATTCGATGTGATTTTGTGGGGAATTCGAGAATTGGGGAAAATTGGCATAAATTCCGGGAAATTTCATAACGTTTTCAGTAATCATATCAATGGCAAGAAAGTTACTGACAATAGCCATTCGGATATTGAATTGTATTTCATCAAGGACATATTTCTTTTGTGTACAAAAATGTTGGGCTTTATTACCATAATATTTTTCGTTGAAGTTGTCATGTATTACGCTTTAAAATATTAATTTCTTATTTAAAAGTATTTATTAGTTTTGTATCTATTGTACTTTATAGGTTTTTGTAGTTGTATTGTAATCAATATTATAACCAAATGTTGTGATTGTAAAT